TTGGAGTGGACATCGGGTACATAATCCAACCGATGGCGACCTATATCTCCAACGAGACTTTATTCGTGAACTGGCCTTCTGATGTCGGTCTATAGTCTTCACGATGACTCCCGGGTTCGTTGTTTGAGATCATCCTTTCGAAACCCACTCATATTTCTCTAGACTAAGTATACCAGTGCTTACAGATGGCCAACTTTATGATCCGCACATTTCGATTATAGTGAAGGTTACAACTAAGGCATTAATCTACGCTCTCTGCACCAAGGCGAACACCAGCCCTGTGAAAGCCTACCTCAGCCTCGAGCAGCCCAACAAAGGAGAACCCCCACCCATGAAATGGACTTCTTCCAACTCCGCGCCTCCCAATGGCAAGCCCACGATCGCAGCAAGAACTCCTGCTTCAACCTCTGCTGAATCAAGTTCACCGCGAAAGAAGTTTAGAAACGCACTATTCCAGACTACCCGGCGCCTGTGTTAGGGTATGCTGCTGGTATGGTAGCAGAACCTCATCCGAAACCGGCTCAGCCAACCGCTCAGGCTACGCCGACTAAAGCTAACCCAGGTGCTGCGCCTCAAGGGAAAGGGAAGTCCGCTGAGAAGGGTAAGGAGTCGAAGTCCCTGTTGCCATATCTTCAGGACTCTCCCGGTCAACGTCAACCGCCATCACAGCAGTTTCATTATCGCCAACCTGTGGCTCCCCAACCACCACTTTAGCAACAGCGCATGTTTGGGTGACATAGAGCAAGTGCAACACAGAAGATGTCAATTCAGATGGCAGCGATTGCGATGAAGATGATGATGGCGATGATGACGAAGAAGAAACGGATGTAGAATGAGCTCACAAGTATGAAGGCTCAGACTACAGTAGTGATGACTACTCTGGACGGGGAGGCAGAGCTCGAGATCCTCCTCCAGCTAAGGGACGCTTGCGCAATGAATACATCGAGCCTCATAAAGAATACGCAAAAGAACCTAGTAGAAAGAAAGGCTACAAAGCCAAAGAAGACGAAACTGCCTGCTCCAGAAGTCGAGCGGGCTTCGGAGGGCCGGCTTTGGGAGGGGAGATACAAAGACAGAGACCGGAGAAGACAGCCTTCAGATCGGGATCAACGGAGGTATACATATACTGAAGATCGACAGGTGGTCCTTTGACCCGCCTACCGGCATGAACTTTCTTATTCCGAGGGGGATAGAGGATTGGAATACTACGACGAGCTGGACGCACCAAGAAGACGATCTCCCACGAAATCTGCACCATCTCGAGATCTGGACTGGCCTCAAGAAATACGGAGGGAGGGACCTAGCCCCTAATGGGGCATTCGCAATATGCCACAGCGTCGATTAGGGCCTGGTAGGCGTTATAGTGACGAAGACTTTCGCGAGCGAGCTTGGAACCCAGACACGGTCGTGGGATAGGTCTTCTCCTATGGTGTGTGATGTTGGTGGGAGAGAGGATGATTTCATCCGGAGGAAGGTGAAAAAAGTTCCCATTCGGGATTTCGTTGACGAAAGATGAACGAAAGATGTTCGCTTCATTCAAGGTTAGCAACGGAGACCGATCCCCAAATTCTAGTAATGGGAGTGGTGGGAACTGGCCTACCAACCTTCTGGTACTTCCACGTACACCTGTGGAGGCACTCCTGGTGCTGGTTCTAGAAGGAGGCTATTTCGACCCTCGACCTAATGGCGCCTCTACGTCTACAATAGCATTAAGCTCTGGTCCTGAATTTCGTGGACGTACCGCCATTCATCCCGTAAAAACCTGAGGAATATCGACTTGAACAATTCACCTCCTCGCCCATCTTCCACTATACTTCGCTGTCCTTCGCCTGCTGCATCTGCTTCTGCTGCGTTAAGCCAGAGAAGGGCATTGCCACAGCCACAAGGGCGGCCGCGTCACGACGCTCCTCTGAGCAGTGCGGGTGAGCAGCTCCAGCGGAGACGATCCTTGTATTCAATGCCCTCCAAACAACAGCAACAATCAGAGCCATCAGCGAGGGAGCGAAGGCCGGAAAGCCAGATGTATGGGTCGTCTAACGTCGATCATACCTAGAGCGTACAACCACGACAGCGACATGATACCCAGCCGTCTTTCAGCATACAATCGAAGCCACAAAGTCTCGGCCCATATCCTACTCGGAATCAGCCGCAGACGCCAGCTCCTCCACGTTCAGTAAACATCGAATCTCCTGCTCCCATTGGTGGTGGGGAGATAACGGCGGATACTTATGCCAACGATCGAACAAAGTGGAGAGGATCACCATGGAAAACGGCATGATGGGTTACCAACAATGTCGCTTCGCTCAGGATCTCTACAGCTCTCCCATCTATACCCACGATCAACATTGATTCTGGGCCAAGTGGAAGCAACGACTTTGGTCCGCAGATCAACATCTCGGGTCCGCAGATCAACGTCGAACCAGCGGAGTCGCAGCAAGGATCTCGCAAAGAAGCTCCAAGGACGCAGGTATACGAGTTTCCTGGAGTCAGCGTTTCAGGGCCTGAATACGGGTCCGAACATAGAAGTGCCTGGGCTGGCTGATGGGCCCCGTCTCAGAGGTCAACAACAGCGGCCATACTCCTAATTCCAGTTTTGAAAAATTTGGGTGAGCGTTAGCTAATCTTTCTTTCTTCTATGGTTTTCATTATCTGAAGAGCATTTGCCGTAGTACAATGAAGACGCTCTCATAATGGTGTTGCACAATCCTCGGTAAGTGTGATGACCAGTGACATGCCGTGACATGGTGTCACAGGCCCAATATCTTGAGACATTGAGTTTGTACTTTCCACAGCACCTATTCAATATATTTTTTGCAATGGGTTTGATTGAATTAAGTGAATGAATCCACTGGGAGAGTTTTCCCTGGAGAAATTGCATTTATTGCTCCAAAAATGCGAAATCAGTCTGTTTTGCCTGCCAAATGAGGCAGTCTGAAGAGATTGGACTATAACTTTTCAACAACAGCACGTATGAACATGATTTGCAGACGGATTTTACTAGAATCAAATTCCAATC